TTCCGTCATTAGAATCATTATTGTCATTGACAGAGCTGGCAATTCCTGAATTTTCCACAGTTTTAAGCTCCGCCTCTCCTCCCCCTCCCCAACCCTGCGCTCACCCCCACAGCTCTTCCGATGTTTAAGCAGATTTTTTCACCGCATTGACGAAAGAGACCTTCCCTCGTGTTAGCAACGATATCCCGCACACCTCGTATGTGAACGAACGGCTGGCTGTTTGTGTGTTCAAGGACAGGCAGCAATATACTCACCTTCCATTGCAGGTTCATCACAGAGAACATACTGCTCACGTTTTCCAATACCACACTGCTTCAGCAATTCCCGTAAAGCAATCATTTTTCCAGATTCTTCGACGCAACCCCGTAATTCTTCCAATTCCAGGCTGTAACATGCTGCTCCACTAAGCGCATGCCTTTTTGGAATTAAAGAAATTAATCAAAAATAAAGAGCAGCACCAGCCCTCTACAAAAATTCATTTCACTCCAAAACAGCACCAAATGCTCACGCTACAGATACAGAAACTGAGATAACGGGAGAAGGAAAGAATTTTGTTAAATAGGAGTAAAATTTAGCAAAAATGATCAGAAAAATGGTGAGAAAGTGCTTTTAACAAACAAATAAATTGAACCAACGATCCACTAACACAGTAAAAACTAAATTCTTTAACTTAACTTTTAAAAATCACCCAATCACCTTGCAATATCACAGACTTCACCGACCCCGGCTAGTTCTCCCAAATTATAAATTATTCCGAAACCAAAAAGCTATTACACACTGATCGGTAGAGTTTTTATTCAATGTGTAGTGACATTTGAGGGAAACAGTAAATCATCCTGAATAAAAAGATAAGTTGCATAAGCCAGAGTACGCGTACTCTACGATGGAAATGAAGAACGTATTAGCAATGAATATACAGGCAGTATCTTCTTGTCTGCTTTTTCTGGAAATCCTTCTAGCTTTTCAGTTATAAAAAAGATTGAAAAAGTGATATGAGGAGTCCAAAATGCGATTTTATAGACAATCAAACACGGAAAAATTTTGAAGCTTGTTCCGACTGACTAAAAAACGCACCAAAAGCAGTGCCACTGCGCACAGATCTCCGGATCGTACAGGGTAACAAATCAG